CCTCGTAGTAGCCCTCTTTTGGCTTCATATACTTACAGCACTGTATAGCTCTTGCAGCATCTCCAGTGCAATATCTCATCAAATACATTAACTTCAATTCATCACTTAATAGAAAACTACTCAACATGATCTCAAACTCCTTTACAAATTGTAAATAATCAGCTGGGTTTCCATCAAAACACCGTGGTTCAAATTTAGGGAGTTTGATGTTCCTATTATCCCTGAACGGCGAAACAGTAACATCAACCATATCATGCTTAACATCAGACACATCGTTACGATTAACAGACAAGTCACAATGACTTACTTTCCTGTTTGCATCCAAGACACTCTGTCCTTTCTTTGACCCAGGCATTTGTTAACTTGACCCAATTCCAGAAACGTTCCAGATATTACTTGTTCAAAGAGGACTTGACCGGCACCAGGAGAGATGAATGGTGACCATCAAAATTGTCACCAACTGTCTGAATCCGTCAGAAAATGTTTCCGCCTTCAGAAAATGACTTCATAGTCGGAAACTGTCAGCCACGTCTCGTAAACCGTCAGTGCTCAGCTCTAGCTACGCTGGGACTCACGCTGTTCCTTGAAGTTTCTCAGAAAGGCTTAGTTATAACGGACGAAATAACCAAAACACCGATTCGCTAATCGAGAATTCTTTATTGTAACACCAACATAAAGGCAACTTTAAATTTACGTTTTAACTAAGGTCTATGGACAAATATTACAATAATAAATCACAAAATTACTTCTGACGGTTTACTGCTGATTTCTTCCTGAGCAGCGACCGATGAGACGATGACTGGTGTATCAATGTCTTCGCGAAAATATAGGGAAGTTGGGTTTGAGCACACAACCAAGAATTGATCGTTCAAACTTCAACTACATTGCCACATCTCTTTAGAAGTTGTTTCGCCGTTGGGTTTCATGGAGTCACTAATGCCTGTGAAGCAAACAGTGACAAAACGGTCAGGGGTTATTCTGTTAATTCATGGATAATCCCCATTCAGGCATTAATGAAAACAAAACACGTAGATCAGCGAAGAGTCTCTTTTCGGCGAATTCATTTTCTTAGCTGTACAATCGCAAATATATATGCATTGTTTTGTATGTATGTGTACATTAAGTTTGTCAAACAAAGTTACAATTGGTTAAGGTTACTTTTAACTAAACAAGTGAAGGTTGGTAATACAGGTCAAGACCATTAAGTGCTAGGGTAGTAACAAAGGTGATGAGTTGTCACAAACAGTTGTTAAAAGAAGTTATGCAATAATAATATGAATAGTTTGATGAGTGAGTTTTACTCAGGATGCACATAGAAACAAAGTAGATAATACGAAACTATGTAAGAGATTTAGTGAATACAAGAATTATAAGCAATTAAAGAACAGGCAAAGAAACAAGATTAAGTCATCAAAAAAAAATAAAAGCTCAAAACAAATGAAAACATTGTTACCATGAGGGTAGAAGTGGTTGAGTAATCTTCTTTTGTATGCACAGCTCCGGTTTTTCCATGTGAATGACCAGAGCTTCAGCGATGCAAAGGAGACGAAACCGTATTGCCTTTGATATGTTATTCTTGACTCTGTAGATTACTTTGAAGGAGGCGTTCGTTAACTGCGCCCAAAAAGAAAATCTACATGAACTTGAATTTCAAGGGAGATTTAGCAAGCGATATTCTCAAGAGAAGGATCACATCATCTCTGAGAAGAACGTTCTTTGCAGCAACGCTAAGAATGGTGTTCTCCAGTCGCCCACTGATCTGCAGAAGCCTCAAGGACAAGATCACGCATCTGGCCACTTCTGTGTGCATATACCAGTTCACCTGCTGCTGTGGAGCCAGGCACATCGGTCGTTCGACGCGCATCCTCTCCAAGAGAATTCAAGAACACTATCCAGCATGGTTGCGAAAAGGCAATACTGGTGCAATAAGGAGTGCGATAATTGAACACCTGATCAACACTGATCATTGCATTTCAACGAACGCCTCCTTCAAAGTAATCTGCAGAGTCAAGAATAACATATCAAAGGCAATACGGTTTCGTCTCCTTTGCATCGCTGAGGCTCTGGTCATTCACATGGAAAAACCGGAGCTGTGCATACAAAAGAAGATTACTCAACCACTTCTACCCTCATGGTAACAATGTTTTCATTTGTTTTGAGCTTTTATTTTTATTTTGATGACTTAATCTTGTTTCTTTGCCTGTTCTTTAATTGCTTATAATTCTTGTATTCACTAAATCTCTTACATAGTTTCGTATTATCTACTTTGTTTCTATGTGCATCCTGAGTAAAACTCACTCATCAAACTATTCATATTATTATTGCATAACTTCTTTTAACAACTGTTTGTGACAACTCATCACCTTTGTTACTACCCTAGCACTTAATGGTCTTGACCTGTATTACCAACCTTCACTTGTTTAGTTAAAAGTAACCTTAACCAATTGTAACTTTGTTTGACAAACTTAATGTACACATACATACAAAACAATGCATATATATTTGCGATTGTACAGCTAAGAAAATGAATTCGCCGAAAAGAGACTCTTCGCTGATCTACGTGTTTTGTTTTTCTGTTAAGTCAAAAAATTTTTTGAATATACCTCGTGCTATGCACAACCAATTTGTGGATCCTCATGACTGAATCTTTGGCATAAATTCTGACCTGTACCATTTAAGGGGAAAAGGAATTTTAAATAAAGCCCTGCATTAGATATAATAAAATGGTAAAGCTTTATTTTAGACAGTATGCGAATATACAGTACAAACATTTTCAGCGTATTCAGTTCCTAATTACTTTTTCTTCACACAGGATTCACATATAAAGTAGTATTCCGAAGAATTTCTTCATTTCGTTGAAGAATTGCACAGCGTTTACTTGGGAGCAAGTTAATTCATCGCGAAAGTTTATTTATAGGTCATTTGATATAACTGGACGATTAAAACAATAATAAATCCAGATGAAATAAAGCATTTTGGAGGAGAGTAACTTCCCAAGTGTTTTTAATCCGTCCAACACATTCTCGAATTTTTCGTTAATGCGAAGACAATATTTCTATATTTCTTAATGTGCTCCATTGAATGACTAGTTGGCTGACTGTACCCATAAACTAATATCAAAAATGGCAGCACTCGTGTAATCTCACAATAAATCAAATTTATGTAATTTAAATAATACTCATCCATGCCTCTAAAACTGGTGTGTCCTACATAGATAGGAATAAACATATTATTATATCCACTTCCTCAAACTCTTTCCGTCATTCATATACTTATTCGTTTCACAGGCCACACAGCAACTCCATCATCAAGGAGGAAAATGAGGCGACCATGGGCATAAGAAGTGGCTTCATTGCATATCCCCGCCAACAAGAGCATTGTAATTCGTTACTGTGTTACTTTAATGCCGAGTCATATTTTTAATTTACCCCCTAAACGAATTTTCACAATAAAAAATTTTCCCAAATACATTATGCCGCCTGCATAATGTTATAATAATATAAGAATTTATATTTCGTATAAACGGGTAAGTTTACAAGAAATGCATTCCATTTTTACAGGCACAATCAGTTGTGTTATAAATTACAATCCTGAAGCATCATAAATCAATACTTTTTCAAAAGTTCGAATTGTTCGATTATCGCACAAGTAATCAGAACAGATTCTTGCAAATGTAAAGCCTCTACTATGGTCACCATCCAAGTTGGGCGATAACCCACACTTCTTTCCGTTTCCTGCTGACAATTATGGTCAACCAGTGAACAGCGTATATTTGGGAGAGCGCTATGCCACCATATGATTGAACGCCATTTCAGGATGAGCAGAAAGTTCTGCGCAGCTGCGAAATGGTACGAAATGCAACTATGAATAACACATTATTGGAAGTATATATACAAGACAAATACAAGAAGAAGAAGCTATATAGTACTTGAAAGGATAGTATAAGTTAATGTAGTTGAAGATTGAACGATCATTTGATGGTTGTTTGCTCAAACTCAACTTCCCATAATTTTCGCGGGTCATCAATCCACCAGCCATCGTCTCATTGTTCACTGTTCGTTAGAAGACGGAGAAATACTATAAGGAGTATTATTGCGATTAAGTGTTATGACATTCATTCTTAGATTTTGTGTATAGCCTGGTGGTAATCTTGCGGTTAGACAACCTTCTAAAAGCCGAACAACAACAGCTTCTGATGCACCGCTAAGTTCATCAACTGGTATCAATCAGTCGTCGTTTGTGTTGTCATCCACAATGAAAGTGACGTCCATGAACTCACGTGCCTTATGCTATGACTATGCTAATATCAGCCCGTTTGAAAGGACGAATGTCAATAGTCAGTTTAGTGATGATAAGACAACTGTGGACGAAAGAGAAATTGTAAGGCTGGCTTGCACGAATAAAAGCCTTTCAAATTTCAAGTTGTTACTCCATTCTGGATAAGATTTTATTTTGATAAATCACACAGTGTTGTACAGTTATATTAACTGATGACGTTTCGAGCATAAACTACTGCTCATAATCATATCAAGTTGGTATAATATAATTAATTACAGACCCATTAATATAACCCCAGTTATCTCACGAATCATGGAGAAAGTTGTAAAAGATCGAAATTGGTGACATTTTTGCACGTGTTTGCTCTGAAATTTATTTACTGCTTATTGTCATATAATTCTTGAAATTATGGTCCAAATCTCTAAAAAACGTGTTCGTAGAAACACAATTGTTTTAGATAGTGGCTTAAATTCGGTTATAACTGCATTACCGCCTGGTAATACAGTATCAACTACTAGCTCTCAAAATGGTTTGAGTGCAGATCTCACTCCTGTGATACAGGTGAAAGATGTTCTGTTAGAGAACTCTGAGTTCTGTAAACTAAACCTCCTTTTGAAAGATATGCAGAGGCAAGTAAGTGAAATTCAGAAAAAATTAGATCAGTTTGATAGTATGTCACTGCCAATCTCAAATACCACGGAGAGCCGGTCTGATATTGGCCAGGTTAAGTGTTTACTGGATGTAACTCAAAATAAGCTTTTGAATTTAGACCCAATAGCCTGTCTTTTAGAAAGGCATCCTAAAATATCTCCAGACAACCTAAATAAAGCTGAAAATCTGATTGACTGCTTGGCTACGGAGGTGATGAAGCGTATAACCTCTTCTCACCAAGCTATAGTTTACAACGTCCCAGATTCTCTGCCCCTGAAAACTGTAAGACACAAAATCCTGATTTGTTGCGGCATGGCTAGTGTTCCATGTGAATGCAAACGACTTCGTAAAAAGTCTAACCAGGCTAATTGCCCAATCATTTTTAAATTCAGTAATTCCCTTGATGCTAGTAAGTTTACTAAATGTCAGGATCACTTAAGACTGAATAGCAGTTATAAGTCTATAACCGTAGCTCAGGATAAAACACCGTGTCAGCGCAGAATAATGCGTAGTAATAACCTGGTCACCTCCTCTAGCTTAGATTTACCAAATAAGGATCGTGCACAGCAACAGACACCTAGTGCTGAAACTAGCATTCAGCAAACTACACAACAACCACACCTGCCAATGGAACTAGGAACTGATTTAGATACCAGTACCCCTGTAAATAAAGCCTCATCGAAAGATGTTAAAATGACTAGAACTTCTGCAAGTTGTTCTAAGAAATTTCCCCCCAAACGTAGTAACCTCACCACGATGAACAAATTTCGCAGGGTTGAGACTAATGATGGGGAAGAATACTTTGTATTCAATAAGCCTGCTGAGAGTAAGAATGCCAACAAACCATCACTTGTTACGAAAAACTCCTCTCGAAACATAAGTACATCTGGAGGTGTTCCGCATGCTCCACCTTATAGAAAGTCAGGCTCCAAGACTCCTAAAGTCTTGCAGCCAAAGCACCTTCCTTCACAATTCCCTTTAAGTTATAAAAACAACCCGAAGGTGTATACCGGTATGACGAATAGCAGTTGGATGGGTAGACCTTCTGATGCTATGCCTTTTAACCGTCAACCTAGGCCCAACCTGTACTACCCTTATATCCAGGAACACATGGTAAATTTTCCAGGTGTCCCGAATCACTGGTACGACCCATGGCACCTAGGACCACCTCATTGCACTCCAACCCGATGTACAGACACCCAGTCCGACCTCCTTTTCATTCATAAATTCTTGCGGTGCTGACGCACAAATAGATTTAGGTTATGGTGACATTTTAAGCCAGTTTGTAGTATCCCGTGACTTATTCACGATATTGCTAATTAATGCACGTTCCTTAATCAATAAGATATCTGAACTAAGGACATTATTATTAGTCGCCAAGCCTACTGTAGCTCTGATTACTGAATCATGGTGCTCATCCTCTGTACTTGATGTGCATATAGGTATCGATGATTACACTGTACACCGTGCAAACAGAGATTGCAAGCGTGGTGGAGGATGTCTCATATATATACATAGCTCATTTGTAGTCAGTAAGGTGGAAGATGAAACAATGAATAATGTACCTGACTCACTCTGGGTTGTCTTACATGGAGATAAGTACAAACTTCTCATAGGCTGTGTTTATCGAGCACCAAGCTCAACAAAAGAAACTGATGCGTTATTAGCTAAATCGTTTGCACACGCATCCTCGTTTAGTGCTAATTACAAAATAATTGCAGGGGACTTCAATCTTCCAGAAGTCAATTGGCTAACTAGTTCCGGCCCCCAACGCTTCGACGAATTACTTGCCACTATAGACTGTTATGGATGGCAACAACACGTCCAGACACCTACTCGTGGTGACAACATGTTGGACCTTGTTTTTTGTCATGACACAATCCCAGTATCCACGTATGTTGGTAATCGATTTTCCAGTAGTGACCATAGAATGGTACTCTGCTCTCTGCCTTTCTCACCACTAAATACAGGAAACAAACAAGACTCAGGAAGCACAATATGTCGTAGTTACAAATATACAGACTGGGGATTAGTCCAAGAACTTATTCGACTCTGTCAATGGGATGACTATTTTACCACTGACTCCCTGGAGGCCTTAGTAACCCTGTTTTACAGGAATGTTACCCTTTGTCTAGATACAGTTGCTCCAAAGAAAATAGTGAAATTAAGTAGACACCGAACTGAATATATTCCAAGGGCACACCGTAATAAGTTAAGGAAACTGAAGAAACAGTACTATTCCACTAAGGACATATCACTATTGCTCTCAATCCACGAGTCTCTTGAATCTCTCAAGCGCCTACGCTCTCAAAAGGACCTCGACGAAGAGTTAACGGCACTTGAAAGTACCTCCAAAGTTTATAACTTAACGGCACTTCTTAAAAAACGAATGCAGTCGGCGAGGGAAATCCCATACTTACTTCACGACAAAGTAATCTACAATGAACCTGCCACTATCTGTGAACTTTCAGTGATTGGTTTGCAAACTTTAGTTTAGAAACACATATGCCTGGTGAAACCGCTCCCCTTACTATCTCTTCCCTTGAAAGCATTGTGTTCACTAATCAGTTAATAGTACAAGCAATTAAAAGCCTTAAACCTTCCACTAGTACGGGACCGGATGGCCTCGCTTCGATAATTTTCAAAAACAGTGGGTGTGATATACCCTTGTTACTTCTTAAATTCTTCTCAATATCTATGGACACTGGCACTTACCCTAGTGAGTGGAAAACTAGCTTCATAATTCCACATTACAAATCTGGTGATAGGGCAAACGTCCGCAATTACAGACCCATAAATATAACCCCAGTTATCTCACGAATCATGGAGAAAGTTGTAAAAGATCAATTGTCAGACTACCTAATTAGGGAAGATCTTGTTACAAGGTCTCAACACGGATTTCTCAAAAATAGATCCTGCGTTACTTGCCACTTCGACTTTTTCAACTGCATCACTAGTAGTCGCGAAGCACGTAAGCTAGTCGTTGTTCTCTACTTCGATATATCTAGGGCATTTGACATGGTATCTCACAGTATTCTCTTTGAGAAGCTGTACTCTTGTGGAATTCGCAACCCATTACTGAACTGGTTAAAATCATTTCTAAGCAACAGGGTACAAATAACCAAAGTTGGATCTGTATTGTCTCATCCTAGGCAGATCTCAAGTGGGGTCGTGCAAGGTAGTGTCCTAGGTCCACTTTTATTCACAATCTACATTAACAGCATTTGCAAGTGCTTCACCTTAGGCAAACCATTCCTATATGCTGACGACCTCAAAGTCGTCTACTCCTGCTACACTCATGAATTAAGCGATATGGTTACTAAAATACATCTTGAACTAAGTAGTCTCGCATCATGGTGTGCTGAATCCTGTCTAAATTTTAACATTGACAAATGCGGCTGGATTTGTATCGGCAACAGTAACCTTGATCTAACTCTTGAAATAAATGGGCGAAAACTAGCTAAGCTCAACTCAGTCGTAGATCTCGGTATTAGATACTCTAGTAACCTAACGTTCGCTGAACAGACTGATTATGCCAGACGTAAAACGCGAAGGCTGATAGGATGCATAACACGCAATTTCTTTTGTTGTGAAACTAGGGTTTTATTATACAAAGTATGTGTCCGACCTATCTTAGAATACTGCCCGTTTATTCTTAGCGGACTAAGACAAAATGACAAGCTTAAATTAGAGGGAGTGCAACGGCAGTTTACCTCAAGAACTCTTGGTTTAGAAAGTGGTCTGGAATACCATGAGCGATGCGTAAGACTAAGATTAGAACCCCTCTGGAAAAGACGCCTTAAGCTAAACCTTATCTTTTACTATAAGCTAACTAATCTTCTCTTGCATTCCTCCGAGCCAATAACTAAACCTACCGCTGTCATCAGTTACAATCTTAGAAATCATCACAACCTAGCTGCTATGGAGCACTGTCAGACTTACGTGCGGTACAACTTCTTCTTAAATAAGTTTTCAGTCATTTGGAATAGACTACCAGCTAATGTGCGCGATGCAAACACACTTCCAGTGTTCATCTCCTCAGTCACCAGACTACTCAAAGATGACAATGCACTTTTGCGCCTGACTCTTACACCTTCTTTTTCACCCTACATAGATATTTTAAGTTCTTTAAACGTGTAGTTACAACAAACTACAATTATAAATTTTAATATTATTGGAACTAGATGATTAACATTTCTACACAGGACAGTAATAATATTAGTTTACACATAATATAAAAGTTAGCATAACGGGACTAGTTAGTTTGTGTACCAAAATAACCACAGTTACTAAACAGAATATATATGTATATATTTATTAATCACTCCTTAAGGACTCCCGTTGCTTTCTTTTGCGTTGCTGTTGTTTGTCTTCTTTTTTCTCTCACCATTTCAGCTTCCATTTGACTTTTTGAATGAGAATGAATAATGTGGATATTTGACCATTTACAATGACAAATGATCTGCAAACATTATTGGTCCCGTATCTTTCAGTTGCCTGGTTAATAACGAATTAACTTTCTCCACGACGCAACCTGGATTACATTTGTGGAATATACTCTTATACCAATGGAAAAGTATCAATTTGTAATACAACGTCACGATTGTAGCTTATAACATAACTGATCGTATCTGTAAAAATAGCTTCCTTATTACCCAATTTGGATATAAATCAAATCAAAAATAAGATTCGGATTTGTACACACCCAAGTTATATTGAGGAATTACTTCAAGCTTTATTTTTTCCCAAGTATTTTTAATCCATCCAAAACTTACTTGGGTTTTTTTGTTAATGCGAAGACAATATTCCTATATTTCATGATGTGCTCCATTGAATGACTTGTTATATTGTGGAATAACTTCAAGCTTTATTTTTTCCCAAGTATTTTTAATCCATCCAAAACTTACTTGGGTTTTTTTGTTAATGCGAAGTTAATATTCCTATATTTCATGACGTGCTCCATTGAATGACTGGTTATCATATTGTTCCCACAGACCTAAAACAAAAACGCCAGCAACCATGTAACTTAACCATAAACCAAATTTATGAAATTTATATGATGCTTATCCATGCCTGTATATTTGGTGTGTCCTACACAAGTAGGAAAAAATGTGTATTTTATTAAAACATTATTATTAATTATGATTGCTAATCGTATATGTAATTTATCATATTGATGATGCCTGTAAACTGGCGTCTCTCATGTACAAAATGAGAATATATTATTATTATTATTATTATTATTATTATCAATTGTCAGACTACATAATTAGGGAAGATCTTGTTACAAGGTCTCAACACGGATTTCTCAAAAATAGGTTCTGCGTTACTTGCCACTTCGACTTTTTCAACTGCATCACTAGTAGTCGCGAAGCACATAAGCTAGTCGTTGTTCTCTACTTCGATGTATCTAGGGCATTTAACATGGTATCTCACGGTATTCTTTTTGAGAAGCTGTACTCTTGTGGAATTCGCAGTCCATTACTGAACTGGTAAAATCATTTCTTAGCAACAGGGTACAAATAACCAAAGTTGGATCTGTATTGTTTCATCCTAGGCGGATCTCAAGTGGGGTTGTGCAAGGTAGTGTCCTAGGTCCACTTTTATTCACAGTATAAATTAACAGCATTTGCAAGTGCTTCACCTCAGGTAAACCATTCCTCTATGCTGACGACCTCAAAGTCGTCTACTCCTGCTACACTCATGAATTGAGCGATATGGCTAATAAAATACATCTTGAACTAAGTAGTCTTGCAACGTGGTGTGCTGAATCCTGTCTAAACTTTAACATTGACAAATGCGGCTGGATTTGTATCGGCGACAGTAACTTTGATCTAACTCTTGAAATGAATGGGCGAAAACTAGCTAAGCTCAACTCAGTCGTAGATCTCGGTATTAGGTACTCTATTAACCTAACGTTCTCTGAACAGACTGATTATGTCAGACGTAAAACGCGAAGGCTGATAGGATGCATAACACGCAATTTCTTTTGTTATGAAACTAGGGTTGTATTATACCAAGTATGTGTCTGACCTATCCTGGAATACTGCCCGCTTATTCTTAGCGGACTCAGACGAAATGACAAGCTTAAATTAGAGGGAGTGCAACGGCAGTTTACTTCACGAACTCTTGGTTTGGAAGGTGGTTTGGAATACTATGAGCAATGCGACAGACTAAGATAAGAACCACTCTGGGAAAGACTTCTTAAGGTAAAGCTTATTGTCAGTCACGTCTCATAAACCGTCAATGCCCAGCTGTTGCTGCACTCGGGCTCACGCTGTTCCTTGAAGTTTTCAGAAACGCTTAGTAATAACGGACTCAAAACCAAAACACCAATTGGCGACTCGAGGATTCTTTATTGTAACATCAACATATAAAAATAATAACTGAACTAAGGTCTGTGAACAAATATTACAATAAGAAATCATAGCATTACTTCTGACGATGTTTCACTCTTCTTTCTGAACAGCGACCGATGAGACGATGACTGTCGTATTGATGCCTCCGCGAAAATATAGGGAAGTTGGGTTTTAGCAAACAACCAAGAATTGATCGTTCAATCTTCAACTCCATTGACAACCAATTACCACTGAAATCGCTTGTCACTCATTCTGCCTCAGTTCTAGTAACGTTGAGGTATGCGAGGCTCAGTC